CCTCCACCGAGGGAGAGAGGATCGCCCCTCGCTCCGGAATGTAGCAAAACCATCCCTTCCTCAGAGGGTCACAAGTCCAGGGGTGTCCGTCGGAGGGTCACAAGTCTGGGCTTCCAGTCACACGGGAGCCGAGCTCGGCTCCGGCCATCTGCTTTCAGTCGCTCTGGAAGAGGCACCTGACAACGACGACTTTCGGCTTTCGGCACTGGCGATGAAGTGCCGCGGGCCCAAGCCCGCCTCCACTCCGCCATGCCTCCGGACTGCGGGAGCTTTTGGGTCTAGACAAAAGCCCTGAAGAGTACGTTTGTTCTGGCCTGGCCTGGCCTGGAAAGCCACACCGCTCGCTGCAGTGAAACGGAGAGGGTCGACTGCACACACATCGCCTCCTTGTGCCGGCCGCGGGAGCTTTTTCCGACAATGGGCCTGCTGCCGGCTCTTCAATGCTACAAGCAGCTGGTACACTTCAGCTCTCCAAACTCCGAAGCCGGCCAAGCCAGAGGTGTCCTCCAGCGCATGGCGTCCACCTGTGCGGAAGCCTCCACAGGGGTGGTAGGCCTTGTGCGCGGCTTGGAGTTGAGTGTTGTGGTCTTCTGGGTGCGGGCGTCTGCTGTTGGAGTTGCAGTAGACGCACAGGGTAGAGTCATAGACGATCCAACCCCTCCCCCCTGAACACCCCCCGCTAAATAGATAAGCTTGCTCATCTGCGTTACGTCTTGAAATCCTTGATTAAGAAAGCAGTGGCAAAGTAATAAGTGGCAAAGCAAGGGCAACATCAACCCCAGGGGCCTGCCCTGCCCGACCCCGAATCCCACCCAAGCCCCACCGCTCACCCCGAATCCCTTTCCCCTTTCATGCACGTGCCCGCGCACCTGCTCAAACAGGGGGGGTGACCGTAACCCGACCCTGCCGAGTTACGGTAGCCACCCCCACTGTTTCAGGGATATGCGCGCGCACGTACACGCAGGTAGATTGCTTTGCTTTACCAAGAGTTTTACATCTTAATAAAGGGCACCGGGTTGCTTTGCCGATAATCTTATTTAGGCGTAATTAGGCATATAATTAGGCCTGATTAAGCTTAATGAAGGATTTCATTCAAGGATGAGACACAGATAAGCAAGCTTTTCCATTTGGGGGGGTTCGGGGGGGGTGTTGGGTAGTTTATGATAGAAGCATTGCCGAGTGTGGGCTTAAGCTTAGCTCTTCCTCTCTCTCTCTCTCTCGATTCAGGCTTTTCGAGGTTGCCTTGTTCGACACTGGTCAACATCGTGGTAGATCAGACACACGCAGGGTGACTATTATCCGAAACGAGAACGAGAGCTGACCGGCGAGAAGCAGAAGCTGCGCCGATCACGGCAACCCGCTCGCCGCGGGCGCTACGTGCGATTGCTGCGTCGAAGGCCTGCCGGCCACACATTAAAAGGGAATGCAGCATGATGGAAGGCATACTGCAGAGGGAGCCTCAAGAATCATACGGGGTAAATGGAGCCAGGGCCAACTTCATATAGCCCAGTTGCCCAATGACTTTTCGATTGCTCACCCCCATATACAAGAGCGTAATGTTCTCACCCAACTCCAAACCGCCAAACACGGAGCACCTAAACCCGAAGGACAAAATCCTGCGTCCTGCCAATGATTGGTCGAACAACATGCAGCAGAAGCGGAAGAAAGCAAGAGAAAAGGAGCACGCGAAATCTTGGCACCCCCGAGGCGCCGTGGTTTCTCTGGCCACTGCCAGCCGTGGCGGCCGGGAGTTGGAGGCCAGCGCGCCCCCGGCCTCGAAGATTGTCCCACTTCGGCTTCCAAAGTTGAACGGGCTTTGCCACTGAAACTGGCATGCTCACCACGAAAGACCCAAGCCCAAAGCAAGCGCAGGCCATCCTACAGTGATACCACTCCCTGCTGAAGTCGGATCCAGTCCAGGTTTGGAGGGCCAGATAGGGTTTGCGAGTCATGTCGGCATTTCTTCTCCCACGGCCTCCTCAATCGTGAGAATTCGAGTACCTGTCGTCACTGTCTGAGGCTTCGGATCAATAGGTATGTCTACAATTTCTAGAATTGGTTGGACACTGCGGCATGTCGCCCTCTATTCTGTCCAGCTACCCAAGATAGAAAAGAAGAACCGTGACACAGAGAAAGAGACAGAGAGAGAGGGACACAAATCTAACAAAAAGATGAAAGACATCTAAGGCGGAAGCATGCTTGACATCGGCATGAAATGGTTCAATCACTCCGTATTCCTTTTTTCCCGTTCATTCATTCATACATTCATTCGCTCACTCGTTCACTCATTCACTCGTTCACTCGCTGGTGCATTCCCTCATTCATCCACCTTGCACGGACATATTGGAGCTACAAGTCGAAAGACCTCTGAAGTGCGAAGTCCAAGTTCCAAGAAGATGGGACATATACACTTGTCGTGATCATGGTCGCCCTTGTGGAGAGGGTCAACTTTATAGCTCGCTAGGGTCCGGCGCGCTTCTTCTCCTAGCAACGTTAAAAAACCTATGCCATTGGTGCTTAGGGCGACATAAACACGAAAAATAGATACATGCTTTCATCCAAACGTGCACCTGCATGTATACATCTGCCTACTCAAGTTGAGCTCGGTTCGTTTCGCTCCACTTCAAACCATTCGGTTGCTGACTTGGATACTTACCTATCTGCGCACACGGAGTGTCGAAGCTCATTGCGCAATGTCAGCGGGACTTCTACAGACTGTATTGTATCTTCAATAGCTGGCAACAGCTGCCATGCGGATATGCAGTAATGTGCAGTTTGCTGGCAAGCCGGCTTGAGATTCGACAGAGGTGTAAATTTCCGCGACAGATATATGTGCACATCAACTTACTGCATATGCATAAAGACTCATGTCCTCTGTCTGATGTCTGATGACTGCACGGACCTAGCATGATAGTCTGTGACGCCTATCTGTCATATGTCTAGCTCTCTCGCACTTTTCTATGCTAGACTAGACTAGACTGTAGTAGGCTTTACTAATGCCCTCCATCTGTCTGTCCGCCAGTCGACTTGTCGACCCACCTGTCTCAGAGTGATCATATAACTTATAACCTATGCTTGCTTTCTCTTCTACCATCGTTTACATTCTCGTTTGCCGATCTAGGCGGGTGCGTACTGGATCGCGGACTATCATGCATTTTGCATCTACTGTCTGTCGCTTTGCTCTCTAAGAAGACGATTTCGTGCACAACGCTGCCTTGTAGGAGGTTGTCCACCTGCTGCAGTGCCACCTTCGCATTGCCCAGCCAGTAGCCTCTGGCTTGACAGACCTGACCAGGCGTCTCCCGAAGTCTCGGACGAAGGACCCACACACCGCACCATCTCATCCCATGTCCTATAGGCTGGCAGTCACCCAAACAAAACATGCACCCTTCCACGGCACGGCACCCCGAGGCTGAGAGAAGCCACTTCTCCACGCAGGTCCCGGTCCGCCTCTCGATCGCAGAGGTTGTCTGTCGGCTTCTCTTCGTGGCTCGAAAGGCTGCTTCAAGCGGTGGCTTCAGAGGCTCTCAGGCTTCGGAGGTTGCGCACAGGCACGGTGGGAGACTGGCAGAAAACGAATGGTTCTAGACTCTGGACGAGGGATTCACGAAGGAACCAGCAACACACACGACTGGCGCGCTGAACTCCGAATACCGGACTTCGAAGCACCGGTTTCGGGTTGTTCCTTCAACGTTTGCCAGGGACCTTTATAGTGCCTTGTTCGGCAAAGAACGAGGGCCTGGGGCCGGACACTTCGACTGCTGTTGCCTTCTCGTTGGCGCTCCGGACCCAGTCAAAGCTGCCGTTCCTGCTTAGCAGCTTGCATCTGCAGCACAGGGCACAGCACGAGAGAAGCAGAATAGCTTACTAGCGGGGCTAGTTAGCTTGACTTGAGAACAGCACTGAGAGAAACCAGAAGGATTCGAAGGACCCCTTCCAGCTCTTTCGGCCTCTGTGCCAAGTGCAGCCCAGGTCGGACGGCAGGGAGTCGCACTTGGCCGGCCTTTTGGAAGGTGCCAGAACGATGGACGTCGCAGTGCATCAGGTAAGTCCGCAGGTTTCCATGCTGCAGCTTTCTTTGAGAGCGTTCGAGTCCGGAGGTGATGGTCGGGGTCCGTGGGGTGGCTCTCGTCCAGGAAGTGCTGAGGGTTGCTGCGGCGGCAGCTGTTGCCAAAGGCACAGCCTCGGAAGACGAGCTGGCCCTGAGCTGAGGCACCCAAGCCGGCCCCGAGAAGCCCTGCCGCCGTCAAGCAGCTGGGCCGCGACACGCGGTGCTCTCCGAAGAGCTCCTGCCGCGGCAAACTCCGGCAGGTTGAATCCCTCTCTAGACCGCGAACCCTGTCAAAAAAGTTGAAGCTTCAACTTGCCGAAGCGACCGGCCTCCTGCTCCACGAACTGCGGCGCAGGCGGTGGTCCAATCGACTGATAGCAAGGGCTCCCCTGAAGAAGCTTCTCAGAGGCTCAAGCTTCCGGGTCGGGACTGTGAAGCGCCTTGCGCCCTTGTGGGCTATTGCTGGCACCATCTTGCATGCATTCTCTTGATTTGCGTGCGAAACCAGGGAGGAGCCAGTTGAGCCACTGATTCGCCGAGGAGCAGAGGAGCTGCTGACCGCCTGAGCTTTGGATCTCAACTTTGAACTCAGGCCGTGCATTCACACGTGCTTTGCACTGCCTCGGCTTCGTGCTTTGGAGCCTCCAAGTGCTGTCAAGATGCTAGGGACTGGTAGCTTGTCCTGTCGCGACCAACCTGGGCTTCAACATGCGATGGCATTGCGGCATTGCTGGCTTCGGGCTTTCGGACTTCAAAGTGTTGGATGGATTCTTTCATGTTAAAGTGTCGGTAGTGCAGTGTGTTGTGGGGCCAGGAGTTCACGACAAGATTTGCCGTTGGTAGCAGATCGGAAGCGCTTCCAAGGCCCCAGGACTGCTGCAAAGCCTGAAGAAGTCCCGACCCGCCACAACCGTGGAGACAACCTTTCTCAACTAGAGCCCAGAACTCTACCCCTCGGATTTGCAGCTCCAACGTATTCGTTCAACTCTGCGCACCCGCCCACCCCAGAACAAAGCCAGAACCGCCCCAAACCAAACTCAAACTGCTGGCACCGATGGTTTATGTTGGCCCAGGACCGGGTTCAAGAAGGCTCTGAAGTTCCATGATCCTGAAGTGGACCTCACCTTGAGCCCAGATCATTCCGAAACAATGAAAGATAGCTGCCAAAATCGATGAATCACTCAAGCCCCAGCTGAAAACCCCGATGCCAATCCAATCCGAATCTGCAGCACTTCGGGGATTGGAAAACGAGAAACAAACGCCCAGAGGAATTCGAAGCTGCTGCAGAAGAGACTCCGTTCCTGTACCTTTACATGGGCCACGTAACAAAGATCCTACCCACTGCCCAGGGTTTACTCGGCTCTATTGAGGTCCTTTCAGGAAGCTTGGAATTCGGAATGTCGCCATTTTCCTGGTTCTAGATTCTAGATACCACCCTGCATGCTCAACGATCCAGTTTGTCTCCGTGGCATCTGCATTCCCAATTGCACAGCCTCAGCCTTCGACAGAAGCCTTCGGAACCGAAGAACGGCAGGAGTCGTTAAGGCTTTCGTGGTTTGCAGGTCAGCCTCTACTTCCTTCAAATCTCCGACCGTCTGGCAGAACAGCATCAGCATCTAGAATCGAAGCCGTGAAACAAACCGAACAACTTCGGAGGATGCATTGGTGGATGCAACAAAAAAGACCAACAGCTCGCGTTCGGACGCACTTTCTTTCGTGTCTGAATCATCGAGAATGGTCGCGCGGTGGGGCTGACGGGTTGGGGACGGAGATGAAGCCCAAGGCTCAGATGTGAGAGTTTACTGGCCAACTGTCAACCGGAAAGAGGTCATCCTGACTGTAGCCCTCAAGAACTTCAGGCCTGCTTGGAAGCTCCTCATGACGAAACACGAACCACTGTAAGATAGGACTTCTCTCAACCAGGGGGCACAGCAGACGCCTGTTTGGCTCAAGACCGTCCCCATGGCTTCGCGTAAGGTTCTAAGACCCTCGACGACCTCGAACTGCCTTGCTGAAGGATATGCTGGTCAGTTGTATCAGATCGAAAATGTCTTCGCTGTTTTGAAAACACCTGCTTACGGGCCCAAGTGTGGCTGCAAGTCAGCAAGCTTCTGGCGAGTGAAAGCAGTCGCTCGGACCATCTCGGCCTAAAGCTCTGTAGTTACCTGGTCCCATCAAGAACGGAGTAGTGCTGCAGCTTCACCATTCCGATTGAGCGCCGATGTATATTCGATTTGTTTGTGCTCGAAGACGTGCAAGTACAGATTGTAAGATGGCAGGTGCAGCTCTCTTCTCACAAGGTCGCATTCTTTGAAGCACTAAGCCGAGCAGCCGTGCAAATCGTTTTGGCAGATCTGATTTCTCGTCCCTGGCGATGACCCTAAACCTCCGTGGAATTCGAGTGGGAGCATTGACAGAACAAGGATCCATGGCCCAAACGATGTGCCCGAAGCTGTCCAGATTAAGAAATCCACCGCATCATTCTTGCGATCGCCAGCTCAAAGCCGCACGGGATGTGGACAGACAGCTGCCAGAGTTTGATTTTGGATTGGTACCTTCACGCATTCAGCTCGCCGAACACTGGATGTTCTCCTCCCTTCGACACATGGTGCAACCTTGGGAAAATAGTTCTCAAGCTTGCTAACGTTCCGCTCTGAAGCCTCAAGCCTTAAAGCCCTAAATCGCGAAGCAACCCACCTTCTGTTGCATTAGCCCCATAGTTGGCTACATCGCCGACCTCACCTGCGTTCTGGCTTCATTACTTGCGTGCGGTTTCCGCCACATCACGCACACGTCTGCGATCCAGAAGCCCAGCCCCGATGGAACTCTTGAACAAATGAACCCTCAGTTGCCTGTGCGGGAGAAGGGCTGCTTTGTTTTTGGTCAAAGAATCCCGAAAGCCTGTATCAAAGGTTTCAGAACTGCTCTTGAATTGCTGAATTCCATTTCTGCTGCCTTCTCCAACTGGAGCCGCTGCGGTTGGAAGCGCCTGGCCACAGCTTCAGAGGCGATTTGCTGATATCTCCCTCCACTCCGAGCCTGCTTTTTCCACTTCTGCTCTCTTGGTGTCTCTTGATGTCGCTGTGCAGTCGAGATGATGCTAACGAAAACTGAAACAAAGATGAAGGCTAACAAAAGCATGGAGATGAAGATGACGACTGAATAAGGATGAAGCATGATCACGTTCCCAATCCAATCAATTCACTGACCGGTTGGTGGGTTCCCCTTATTGGCATGCTTTCTGCCAATCCCGGGAGTGATCCAATAAACAACTCGTCTCACATCAAGCCTCACGTTGACCACCAGAGCCAGCCCACGCTCTCCATGTGCCACCTTCCAGGTCAGAAAGATTTCGGTGTTGAAGGCGCCCTTTGCCCCATGCCTCACCAACCAAGCTCCCCAAGACCTACAAAGTTCTCCTGCCCTGAAGTCCGAAGATGTCCGAAGGGGTGTCGAGGCATGACCACACATAGTCCCCTTGCTAAGACGTGGAGGCGGTCAGCTTCACAAGTGTTGAGCACCTCCCTGCCATCGAAAGTCCACCGGGTGAAAAGCTGCACCTGCTGCCGTCACGCTCTCACAGTTTCAACCATCTGTCGCACGAGTTCCTCCTTGTTCAGCCCGATCGATTCGCACGCAGATGCCATAGCACAAAAGAAACAGGATGAGAGCTTACGGCATGGTAAGTGCCACTATGCATGCACAAGCGAGTCAACGCGGAAACCGAAAAATTACATCATACACGCCGTAATCTTGGATGCCGCACAATACCCTTCACAAGATCAGGATTGTTGCTGCGACTCTGGGCTGCGAGCTTGGCAACCAAATTGTGAGACCGTACACAGTGTGAAGTCTTTACGTTGTGCGTAGAACATGCAAATTCGTGACTCTCGGCGCAGTTCTTAGTCGAATAGAAAACTTTTGTCTGTTTTGTAGGCTTAGTCTTTGTGAAGAAGCTTTTCTATGAACACAAGAAGGGCGAACCATTGAACTGAAAGGGTAACACAGTGAAGCAGAAATCCTTGCGGAACCTAAAGAAAAAACAACGCACTGCGGCGGACAGACTGAAGCGGACAGACTGAGTTGGCCAGGCCATTCAGCAAACACACAACTTCGTCTTAATTTTCCTCAAATGCTCAATTCCTGCGGCCGTTGAACTGCGCAGACATGGCCGCACAACGGTGGTCTATTGTTGCAAACATACCGTGCAAACAGCAAAAGTTGACTTGCACACCGCAGACATCCTGGGGCCAGATGCCCCCGCCTTGATTTGCCTTGCACGTCCTGGAGCACCCTGCCCCAGAGAATGAAGCACTTTTCGCATTTTGCTTCTTAGTGGAGAATACACTGCCGCAACGTTCCCCAAATTTTTTTTTGGCTTGGGCGGGCTTCGGTGGCAGCGGCTACGCTCAGTCCCTAACGACACTACCGGTCAAAAAAAAACAGCGGTGAAAGTGTTGCTGCTTGTAAACCAGTCGACAACAGCCGTTCAACGAACTGCCGGGCTAGGGCATCCTCAGCAGCCGTTCAGAAGCAACAGAGCCAAAACCAAGTCCGGCAGCCATTCTAATCCCGTCGCAATGGACTTCCCCCACTGAGCCGTGCCGCAACGTTCAGGAGCCTCCTGGGTCACTTGCGTGCAGTGGGAAGAAGTGAAAGTCCGAGCAAGATGATGAAGCAATCCAATCTCACGGGCACACACAGTACTCAACTCATCGGCACACTATCGGATGGGAGGCTGGTCCCCTCCCCCCCCGGGGTTTAACCCAGGTTTGAACCTGGGTTTGAACCTGGGTTCCCTCCCCCGGGGGGGGGGGGGGGAACAACAACAACAACCCAGGGAACCCAGGTTTGAAACCTGGGTTTAACCTGGGTTTGAACCTGGGTTTGAACCTGGGTTAAACCTGGGTTCGAACCTGGGTTCAACCCCGGGTTAAACCCAGGTTTAAACCCACAGGTTTGAACCCAGGTTTGAAACCCAGGTTCTAACCCAGGTTTGGAACCCGGGTTTAATGAACCCAGGTTTAACCCAGGTTAAAACCCAGGTTGGATCTCCAGAAGCAGCTGCAAACGAAGCTGGGCGAATTTGAAGCCAAGCCAGAGCCCCCAGTGGAAGATCCCAAAGCATTTAAAGCCTTCTTTGCAGCCTTGTCACGGGCAGGTGTGCAACTAGACGCAGACGCGGAGGAACGTGTCAGAGCTCAGCTGGCATCTGCACCTGTGCCTGCGCCTGCGCCAGACCAGCGTGGGAGAATGTTGCACCAACTTCCGCCTGCGCACTTCCCAGATGGTGAGAAGGATCACACAATGCCAGAGGCCGGGTCCCCGAAGGCAAGTCAGAAGGAGCGCAGTCGATCACCGCGTGCCAAAGATGGTCAGAGTCAAGGTTAGGGTGTCGGCCAGCGGGGCCAAAGGCCCACCATGGGTGAGAGTGGCTGTGATCAGAGCTTTGCACTTCCACCCTTTGCAGGGCCAGGCCCTGCGTGGCCAACTCAGGTTTTTCGTCAGGCGCAGCGCCATCATGTGGAAGCTTTTGCTTTGAATCTCTTGGTACTGGGGGTCACAGGGGTTTTGCAAACCCTGTGCCAGGGTGTTGACCAAGTCTTGGAGCAGCGCTTGCAGGTGTTTCATGTGGTCACGCAATCCAGTTTAGGTGCTGGGTCGTGCCAGGACAGCCGGTTTGAGGAAGCAAAGGGATTTGCGGCCTGGGGCTTGTCCACTGAGGCTGATGCCGTTTGTTCGAGTTCTTTTCAGGGGAGTTTTGCTAGTGCCTTGAGGGTGGGGAGCCGTGATCATGGGCACCCTCGTGAGGCAGCCAGTGTTGCTCTGAGTTGTTTAGTCCTCGCTGCCACTGGAGTTTTGCAATCCATGTGCCAGGGTTGTGACAGAACATTGGAGCAGCGTCTGGAGGTGTTCCGAGCGATTTCCCTTCGTAGTTTGCCTGGTGGGGAGCCGGGCTCAACGATTTTGACCCAGGATGCAAGGGGTGCCGATTGGAGGGTCCTAGCTGTGGCGTTCCCAGATCGCAGCTTTGAGGTTTTAGGGGGTGGTGCTTTAGTAGGTGGTGCCGAGTGGGGCGGGGGCCAAGGTTGCAAAAGTGACGTTGCAAGTGTCCCGCAGGCCATCGTTTCTGATGCATCAGGGGTAGGCTGGCAGCTTCCGAAGCGTCCTGCCAGGCCGTTTCAATCAGGTGAGTCGTGTACGGACTGGTCGGGGCCAAAGTATTTCCACGCCGCTGATGTGGAATACCTTGATGGGCCCAGGCAGTTTGAGGACTGCGATAGATTTTCTGATCGGGAGACAGCGCGAGCATCGTGGGGTCGCACATGTGATCCTCAAGCTGCGCAGCAAAGGGTCAAAGGAGAAGTGTCGCGGATTGTGAGTGTTGTGGACTGTCGTTTGGATCCTTGTGTAGCCTTTTCGACACCAACTGTAGACCCAAGTCTAGGAGAAAATGCATTTCCACAGAAGGATGGGTCTGCAAGTGTTGCAGCAGTGGCCAGGGATGGGGAATTTTCGGGTTTAGGTGATCCGGATGCGAGTCGAACCTGGGTTGGCGACAAGCGTGGCTCAGCCCCAGCCCCGCCGTGTGGCACATCATCGGTTTTGGAGGCGGCCGAATTGTCCGTTTGGGGTGCAGGAAGCCCAATTCCGCCAGCGCCCCCAGGGTCGGTTTTGGGGACGTGTTAAAGAACGGGCTTCACTAAGGGTTCCTACCCACAAAGACTGTCGGACACTTTTGTTCCTGGGCACGGTGTGTCCTGGGGTCTCGAGCCTGCACGTCTCGTGTGCGTGACGGCTGTTCCTGTACATTAACTGTACTGCACTAGCTGTGTTACTGTTCCTGGCAGAATGTTTAACACCCCGCCTTCGGAGTTAGCGAAAGTTCCTCGACTGAGGTGACTCCGACTTTTCCTTGACAAACAGTAAACACACTGCAGTTCCTTTTCACTTGCAAAACAAA